CAGTTCCTACTATCTCTGATTCCATAATACATTACGACATGGTTTGTGAGTAATAAATTACAGAACAGCTTGGGAACTGTACTTGTTACAGAATGTGCTATATACAATCTTTATTATTGCACAGTGGGTACATAAAAATATAGAACACAGCATGGACTCTGTTTAATACATATAGTGCAGAGTCTACATAACGTATAACAATATGGATTTTCATATATTACTGTTAGTGCAGGATTGCATACATCCTTATTATAGCATGACTTGTAGTAATATGTTATAGTGCAAGGACTGTATGTAATATTCAACACAGCATGGACTGTGGAATACGTATTGCTGAAAGGACTGTATGTAATGTCCATTACAGCAAGGACAGTATGCAATATGCAGCACAGATTGTAATACTGCAAGGACTTGTCTGTGTAAAGAGATTGTGTATAATGTGTATTACAACATGGACAGTACTACTGTAAATATATTACACCTTGGAATGGGGAAGACAGATATAACACCATTAGGTGGAATGTGTAGAATTGACTCTGCAGCATGACTTGAGTTGTGAATAGAAAATACTTTCAATTCCCAGCCCTTTGGTGAGGTTCACTTCATTGACATGGGTCCAGACTCTCGTAGACATGTTTTACGTGTTTCCCAGCAAGGCTGTCGCTGCTCTGTTTGGGATGCTGATGGAGATATGTTTCCTGAAGCCAGGACAGTTAGTGAAGAAGTGAAAGCTTATTGCTGGCAGCAGGAGACTGTGGCCCAGACCCATGACAGGGCTCAGAGGGGCTGAATGGAGGTTATAGGTATAACTTGTTGGGATATGTACAAGCTTTAGCAATAACTGTGTTTGCTCATCAGCCTATGAATTAAACCAGGATAATGAGTTACGTTTAGCACCATCTTACTCTGTGTTTCTCATTTGAAAGCTGCAGTAAAACATGACTAAGAAGTTCCTAGTTAGGTCTGAGTTAATATTTCGTAGAATTAGCTGTTATACATTCGGATCTCTTTCAGGAGTGCCAATAATGCCTGTGTTAAAACATCATGGGATGTGGGCATCACTGACAACACCAGCATTCAGTGCCTGTTCCTAATTGGCCTTGAACTCAGTGATTGGTGAGGTTAGTTAAGAGTCAACCTCATCGCCATGGGTCTGGAGTTACATATAGCCCAGACCAGTTAAGAATGGTAGATATTCTGCCCTAAAGGGCATCAGTGAGCCAGATGGGTTTTAACAACTATTGATGATGGTTGTCATGGTCACCATCAGTGAGATGAGGTTTCAATTGGAGATGTTCTTCATGGATTATAAATTCCACTATCTGTTGTGGTGGGATTTGAACCCATTAGCCTGGGGCCTCTGGTTTATTAGCCCAATGACATGACCACTGCACCATCAAGCGTCTGTCTCCCAGGGCACGTCCATTAAATTAGGGATGTTGAGTGACCCCTGGAGATGGGTGGGGGACACAGTGATGGCTGTCGCAAGGACAACTGGCAATTTCCACGGCATCGCCAATGACAGCATTATTAAGTTGTGAGCAGCACCAATGTGTTGGAGGTACCATTATTATAAGGGAAGTGATAGCAGTCCCAGCACTATCAGATGTGACACTGTCCAGAAAATCTTCACAGGGTGGCAGACATCAGCCAGGCCATTTAATAAGATTGAGGTAAAATTCCCAAGGGGTCCTGATGCAGTCTATGTTGGGATGATATTCCCTCTTGTGCAGGTCTTCAGAACAGGTGGGGAGGGGAGGGGAGGGGATGGGAGGGGTATGCACAGTGTAGGGGCAAGAATGAATGTCTTCTGGCAGAGGCTTGATGGTGTTTGAATACTGTTCCCTGGCACTCGAGGCTGAGTGAGTCAGATCTTTGATCGATACAAGGGAGTTGAGCTTTATGGTGCTCATGGAAGAAATTTGGCCACAATTAGATCAACCACAATACTATTGACCAGCGGAACGATCTCGAGGGGTCCAATAGCATTCTGCTGCTTCTAATTTGGACATCTTCATGTTCCATTTCATATGAACCTACAAATTAGGAGCAGGTTTAGGCCATTTGGCCTCGTGACCCCGCTCCACTATTTGCAAAGATTGTGGCTGAATTGATTGTGGACTTGACTCCACATTTTCGCCTAACTCTTTCTAATGAAGAACTTATCTACCTCTGCCTTAGAAATGTTCAGTGACTCCTCTCCACCGTGCTGTAGGTAGGGAGTTCCAAAGATCCATCACCCTCCCAGAGAAAATATTTTTTCTCATCTCCATCTTCTGTGGGAAATCCCTTACTTTTAAACAGTGCCCTCCCTAATTCTCATCTCTCCCACAAAGACAAAGATCCTCTCAGTATCTACCTTGTAAAATCCTCTCTGTCTTATATGTATCAATATTATCACCTCCCATTTTTCTGAACTCCAGTTGATACAGGCTCAGCCTAACCAACCTTTCCTCATAGGCCTCCATCCCAGGTGTAAATTGAGTGAGCTTTCTCCCGAATTGCTTCAAATGTATTTATATCCTTTATTAAGTATGGTGAGCAAAACTTTACACAGTATACCAGATTTAGCACCACCAGTATTTTTAGCAGCTGTAGCAAAGGACCCCTACTTTTATATTCCATTCTGCTGCCTGCAGTAAACAACAACATTCTTCCTAATCACTTGCGTATTAACTATTTATCATGGGAGGTAGTGATGCTTACTTATTGAGCTGGTGCAGGTTCGATGGGCCGAATGACTTCTTTCTGTGCAATAACAATTCTGCAGCTCTGTGATGATCCATGTATCAGGACGTTCAGATCCCTCTGTACCTCTGAGTTCTATAATGAAGTAACACTGAAATTATATCCTGACTTTCTATTCTTCTTGCCAAATTGGGCAAGCATGCATCATCCCAGATTATAGTCTGTCACTCTTCATGCCTCTCACCTTGACATATCTGTCCAATTCCATTTTGAAAATTACTTTCACAGTTAGCTTCAGTTGGAGTCCAGCACAGTCCAACTAATCTATGTGAAAACTGGAAATCCATGATCTCTATTTATTAACTCATTTACCAGACAAATTTACTCTATCCATAGCTCTCATGATTATGAAAACCTTGATTATTGAGTCAGGAGTCATTGGGGTGGAGCAGGCAGTAAACTGGAATTAAGATCAAAATCAGATCTACCAGGATATTATGGAATACCAGAGCAGGCTCAATGGACTGTAGTGTCTCCTCCTGCTCCTATTTCTGATGATCCTATGATTATTTCTTCACGGTAGACGAGAGGTCGTAAGTTTTAGCATAAAGGGGCAACAGATTTAAAACCGAGATGTGCAGAAATTACTTCTATCAAAGCGTGAATCTGTGAAATTCACTACCCCAGAGTGTGGTATACGCCAGGTCACTGAATAAATTTAAGGAGGAGATAGACAGATTTTTAATTTTAATTAATGGGTTCAAGGATATGGGGAGCAAGCAGGAATGTAGAGTTGAAGCCAAGATGAGATGAGCCATGATCATATTAAATGACGGAGCAGGATGGAGGGGAAAGCCCTTGAAGCTCATGTATCTCTGACCTCCGCATTCTTTAAGTTGCTGACGCAGTGGGGACTAGCCTTGTCTGGTGCTGCAATATTGAGCAGCTGAAAATTGACCTGGTAACTAATCCAACAGGTGTTGGCTAACGTGCCACATCAAAGGTCATTGTGGAAAATGGAAGCTCATGGTATAGGAGGTGACATAGTGGCATGGATAAATGATTAACTGGCCAACATCAAGCAGGGAATGTGCATGTCTGGCAAGCTGTAGCAAATGGTTTTCTCACAGGGATGACTGCTGGGGGCCTCAACTGTTTACAATTTATATGAAATGATTTGGAAGAAGGGATGGAAGGAATGGTTACCACATTTGCTGCTGTCACAACCTTAGCCAGGAAAGTTATGAAGAGGTCACAAGGAGGTTACAAAAAGATATGGATAGGTTAAGTGGGTGGGAAAAGATATGGCAAATAGAGCTTAGCGTGGGAAAATATGAAACTGCAGAAAGAATAACAAAGAAGCATATTGGCTAAATGGTGAGAAATCACAGAGCTCTGAGATATGGAGAGATCTGAGTGCCCTTGTGCGTGGAACAAGAACAGGTTAGTTTGTGGGTACAACAAATAATTAGGAAAACTGATGAGATGTTAGCATTTATCGCTGGGGAACTGAATGCAAAAGAAGGGAAGCTTTGCTTCAGTTATACAGGGCATTGGTGAAGCCACATCTGGAGTACTGCGAACAATACTTTATCTAAGGAATGATGTGATTGCATTGGAGACCGTTCAGGGAAGGTTCACTAGAATAATACACAAACAGAATGTAACCCTTCATCAGTTCTCCAATGTCCTTCTGGATGGTAGACATCGTGGGTTTAGAAGGTTCTATCAAAGGGAGTCTTGGTGAGTTGTTGCAGTGCGTCTTGTGGGTGGCACATACCTCTGCCACTATGTGTCATTGGTCACAGGAAGTGAATGCTGAACGTGGTGATGGGATGCTAATGCAGTGAGTTCATTTGACCTGCATGGTGTTGTTGGAGCTGCACTCATCCAGGTTGGAAAGTCAGTTTGGAACATTGACCTAAATACACCAGTTCCAAGAAAGCATATAACTGCAGTAAAGTGCCAGCAAGTAACATTGTGGTGTTAGGAATAAAATGTTTTCACTGTTGAGTTTATGAAATGTAGAATAAACATGTTAAAGTAATCAGTTTAATGTTATATTCAGGACAGAACATTCAGCATTTTAGCTGGAGCTCAGTTCAGAAAGTGGAACAGGTTTTCCTCAGAGGGAATCCAGTCAGTTCAGGGGAACCAGTCACCTTAGCAGAATTGGTTTCTAGTCTGTCAAGTTTCCAAGCCAGGAGAGTTTGGATAGAAATCTTCAGGATGTCAGAATTGAGCAAATTAAGACTGTCAGAATTCTGAGATGCTCTTGCCAGCAGACTCAGAAGGAATATTTTTTAAAAAAGTATGTCAGCTATCCAAGAGAAAGAAACTAGGATATGTCAGGAAAAGATTCAAAAAGCTGAGCTAGGAGTGATATTTCTCTGGGATTGAGTTGCTTTGACGGATGATGTTGGGAACTTTGGGTTGAAACTTCCAATTGATGTTTGTGTTAAGATCATTCTAACTCTTCTATATATATATAAAGCATTGTTTGTGTAAAAAATTCTGTCTTCAAAGAACATTGACAGGCTCACGTTCCAACTAATATAGTAACCAAACGCAGAAATTAAACGTATGGTCTATCAAGCCATGTTTCATAATGGAATCTGACTTGTCCTTTATTACCATTAGCTGCAATCATAACACACTCCCGACTTGTGCCTTGTAGATAGTGGACTGACTTTGGGGAGTCAGGAGGTGAGTTACTTGCTACAGCATTCCTAGCCTCTGTCCCGCACTTGTAATCACTGTGTTTATATGAATTGCCCAGTTTCTGGTCAATGGTAAGCCCTAGGATGTTGATAATGGGGGATTCAGTGATAGTGATGTCAAGAAGAGATGGCTAGATTCTTTTTTATTAGAGATGGCCATTGCCTGGCATTTATGTGCCTAAATGTTACTTGCCACTTTGCAGCCCGAGCTTCAGTATTGTCCAGGTCGTGCTGCACATGGTCAGAGACTGCTTCAGTGTCTGAGGAGTAGCAAATGGTGCTGAACATTGTGCAGTCATTGGTGAACTACCCACTTCTGACCTTCTGATGGAGGGAAGGTCATTGATCATGCAGCTGAAGATGTTTGGACCTAGGTCACTACCGCAGTTGATGCAGTGATGCCCAGGGATTAATGATTTTTTTAAACATTTGGCCATGGGATGTGGGTGTCGCTGGCAGGGCCCAGCATGCATCACCCAACTCTAATTACCCAGAGGGCAGGTAACAGTTAACCATAAACCAGTGGGTCTGGAGTCACATGTAGGCCAGACCAGGAAAGGTCAGTAGATTTCCTTTCCTAAAACAAACTTCAGTGACCAGATGAGTTTTTACAGCAATCGACAGCCTTTACATTGTTGCCAACAGACTGGCTTTTAATTTTTAAACAAATTGGATTCAGATTTCACCATCTGCCATGGTGGCGTTTGAACCCATGTACCCTGAACACTAGCCTTAAATTCTGGTTTATTAGCTCAGTGATGTTATCACTATACCACAACCTGCTCTAAAAATTACCAACAACCACAATCTTCTTTCGTTGTGCTAGCTGTGTCTTCACCCAGTGGAGAGTTTGCCCCCGATTTTGCTAGGGTAACACACAGTTGGGCTTCAGGATGGCTTAGGGATGTCAAGGGCTGTCACTCTCACCTTTCGTCTGGAATTCAGCTCTTTTGCCCATGTTTGAACCAAAGTTGTAATGAACCCAGAAGCTGAGAGGCCCTGAGTGCAGAACATCAATGAGCATGTCATTGCTGAGTAAGCCAGCACTGGTGGTGATAACCTTTCATTACTCTGCTGATGAGTGAGAGTAAACTGATGGGTCAGTGATTGTCTGGATTGGTTTGTGGACTGGACATTCCTGGGCAATTTTCCCCATTGCCGGGCCAATGTCACTGTCTGTACTAGAACAGCTTGGGCAGAGGCACTTATAGGACTTGCCTAACGGGCTGGACTCCATCATCATTAAGAATGGGGGAGAAATGTTCATTGAGCCTCTTTGCCCTATTAACATTTTATTCCAAATTTATTTAATTAGGTGAATCTAAATTTCTTATCTAGCATAGTGGGATTTGAACTCCTGTTTCCAGACAATCATTCCATGTCCTTTGGTTACTTGGCACAGAAACCATGGGCCCTGTGGCTACTCCTGGCCCCATGTACAGGCTTTAATCTGAGGGTGGGCAGGGACCTTTCGATAGACCTGCCCCCACCCTCGGCTCTAACCCACACACAGCCCCCTGAACCTTGCACTGACCCCTGCCCCTTGTATCGACCCCATACCCTGACCTTCACATAGTCCCCTGACCCTCGCACAGCTGTGCTGCCCCTTATCTTGGCACAGTGGGTCCTCTCGAGTGCTGGACTTCAATCATTGGGCCCTGAGCCTGATCATGATCAGCCAGGCTGTCATCACGTCACTCTGTGATGGAAGCCAAACTGAAAGATCTGTTGGTTAAGCCCACATTTCTTGATTTGCAGTGACTCATGATGAGTGTGACAGTTTTTGGAATGTTCCGGTGGGTTTCTGGCAGTGACCTCACACCCGGGCTCTGCTGCTTTCACTGACGTTTTTCAGTTTCCTTGAAGGAAGAGGTGGTGACTGTTGTAATAAGGCTGAAAACCTAATGAGTATTTGGCATTTATGTGTAGGGGAGGAAGGCGCAGGGGGATCTCTGACTCCATAAACCTGCTACCACCCCTTTTCCACCTTCGACCCATCCTCTTACCCACCTCTAATTGCCACATTCCTAGGATAATCCTGGGCATTGGTGCAGGTTAAGATTGACTAGGACCCCATCGTGGGACACCTGTTTGTTGCCCACTGTTTGCCTGATTAATGTCCAAGGACATTATTTCTTCAGTTCCGATGTATCTGCATGCCAAGGGCACACTTGACATGCCAGGGTCACGTCTGTTCAAAGTGCAATAGACATCAGGCCACCATAAGATTTATTTTCTACCCTCCCACTTCTGTCTCCCACTTCTTCTACACAACAAACCCCATTTTCATTTCACTTTCTGCCCCTTGTCACTTGTCATTCCAAATTCCTCCAATCTATGTCCCACCCTCTTCACTCTGCCCTCTCACCTCCCTTTCATTTGCCTCCTGCCCTTTCCGGTCACACCCTTCAAAGCTGATCTGGCAATCACTGGAGCTACATCCCTACAGCTTGGGTCTGTGCCTCACAGAGTCAACACAAGGTGGCCAGATGCTCTCATGACTTGGCTGCTGTCGACATTAACCTAAAATTTGCTGGGTGAGCTGAAATGAAGTGAAATGGAATTAAATTAAACGATTTGAGAAGGAAAAGAAATATATCAAGTTTGCCTTATTGAAATACGCAATGGCTCTGGTGATTAGAAAGGTCGCTGGCTTTAATGTGTTTCTGTGAGAGACGGAATGTCCGTGTGTTTAGAATGAGTGGTGTAAACTCAGCAGAGATAACTAAACTGTCACAGTAACTCTGAAAGGCCAGAGTCTTGTTTTAAAATAGACTCAGTGAATTAAATATGACAATGACGATTGTTTAACAGCTAGACAGAATGCGCTTGGTCATTGTGCTATGTAAATATTATACCGTTGTTTGGATGACATTAAGGCGGCAACAATGCGAGCAAGTTAGCTGAGGTCAAAATGCGCTAAGACCAAGAGATGAGACAGGAGCAACGTGGGGTGGCACGGTGGCTCAGTGGTTAGCATTGCTCCCTCATGGCACAAGGGACTGGGATTCGACCCAGGACATCTGTGTGGAGTTTGCCCATTCTCCCCATGTCTACATGGGTTTCCTCCGGGTGCTCCGATTTCCTCCCACAGTCCAAAGATGTGCAGGTTAGGTGGATTGGCCATGCTAAATTGCCCTGTTACGTCCAGAGATGTGCAGGCTAGATAGATTAGCCATCGGAAATGCGGGGTTACAGGGACAGGGGTGGGTCTAGATGGGCTGCTTTTTGGAGGGTCAGTCTGGACTCAATGGGTTGAATGGCCTGCTTCCACAGGGATTCTGTGATTTTATGCTTCTAACTAACTGATGGTTTTCCAATGGTCAAACAGTCATTTGCTGGAGACTGGGTACTGCAACTGTTTGTCTGCGTGCAGGGAAAAGGGCGTTAGAAAGCCTGATTCTGGCCAATAGTTAGCTCAGGATGGGTTATCTGTTCGGAGCCTGGAGGTTCAGACAAATGGGCTGACCGTCGGCCAAGTCCTATTAAAGGGTTCATTTGTGATTGTGAACATTGCAGGAGTAAAATTTTGGCAGTTTTTTTTGTACTGTACACTGCGTTAATAAAGAACATTGGGTATTTCCTGTTGTTAAGACTGTTGTGGGTTATTGGTAACCAGAGTAAATCTGAAGGACTAGGGAAAGTAGGAATAAAAGCCTACACTGCTCTGGCATTCTGTAGTCTGACGCCTCTCCTAACTACATCTGGAATGCAGTGAACAGTTTTGGTCTCCTATTTTAGAAACGATACAATTGTATTAGAAGCAGTTCAGAGGAGATTTAATCAACTTATTCCGAGGATGAAGGGGTCATGTTATTCATTAGGTCTATACCCATTAGAGCAGAGAGGTGCTTTTATTGTGAGATCACGTGGGGATGTGACAAGGTGAATGCTGTGAGGATATTTCCCCTCGTGGAGGAGTCTAGGATTTGGGGCACAGATTAAGAACAAGGGATCTCCCATTTAATATGGAGATGAGGAAAAATCTTCTCACCCAAAGGGTCACGAGCGTGTAGATTTCTCTTCCCCAGTGAATGGTGGAGGCCGGGTTCATTTATGTGGTCGAGGTGGAGTAGGTCAAGTAGCAGTTTACACTGGAGGCCCAGTGAATTATTTGGTCTGCTCTCTGCTTACAGGAAGGTCAACAACTGATCAAGGAGAAACCTGAACTCGCCCCAGAAGTCAGGAAGAAACTGGAAGAGATTCACGACTGCTGGATTGTTCTGGAAAGCACAACACAGGCCAAGGCGAGGCACCTGTTTGATGCAAACAAGGCAGAGTTGCTGGTGCAGAGCTATGGCGAGTTGGACAAGAGGCTTTCCCAGCTGGAGGGGCAGCTGCAGGGGGTAGACGGAGCTAGAGACATCGCCAGCGTCAACTCTCAGCTCCAGAAACTGCAGGTGAGGTGGCCGGGAGTCCCCACAACACTCGCTGCCCAGACCCCCGCAGCTCAAACTGCACTTCCCAGCCTTACAGAAGCACGTGAGTCAACAGAGGAGCAGAGAGTGGGGTCAAAGGTCAGAGGTTGATAATTTCATTGTTTGCTGGGTCAAAGTTCAGATTGATATTCTCAGTGTGAGCAGGGTCAAAGATCAGAGGTTGTTGAGTGTGAGCAGGGTTGAAGGTCAGGGGTTCATATTGTCAGTGCGAACAGGGTCGAAGGTCAGTGGTTTATATTGTCAGTGTGAGTGGAGTCGAAGATCAGGGGTTCATATTGTCAGTGTGTGGGGTCGAAGGTCAGGGGTTCATAGTGTCAGTGTGAGTGGGGTCGAAGGTCAGGGGTTCGTATTGTCAGAGTGGGGTCGAAGGTCAGGGGTTCATAGTGTCATTGTGAGTGGGGTCGAAGGTCAGGGGTTCATAGTGTCAGTGTGAGTGGGGTTGAAGGTCAGGGGTTCATAGTGTCAGTGTGAGTGGGGTCAAAGGTCAGGGGTTCATATTGTCAGTGTGAGTGGGGTCGAAGATCAGGGGTTCATATTGTCAGTGTGAACAGGTCAGGTGATGTCTGAGGCTGAGGGTTGGGGTGGGTTGTGAAGGGATGGGGTTCAGATTTGGGAGGGGTATGGGTCTGTGATGGGTTGGGAGGGGTTTGAGAGCGAATTGGTGGATATGGTGGGGGCTGGTTGGGAGAGGCTTGGGAAGGGAGACAGAGTGCAGTTTTATTGATATGCAGGATTTGCCCATGACCTTTGCTGACCTGCAGGTCCTGGAGAATCAGATGGAGGGCTGGTACAAGGAGGTTGGTGAATTACAGGCCCAGGCTGCGACCCTGAACCATGATGGGGCGGGAAAAGAAGAGGTCACTGAGAAACAGAATGTGGTTGAAGCACGAATTGTGCGTCTGATTGAACCATTGAAGCAGCGGCGGAGGATTCTCCTCGCCTCGAAAGAAGTTCACCAGGTGACGAGGGATATGGAGGATGAGACTGTAAGTACCACATGGAGAAACCGTGCCTCTCGATCAAACAGAAACCATCTCACAGCTTAAATATTGTCTCTCAAGCCAAGGACATCTCTTTGTTTCTTAGGGGTGGATGGGAGGGATCCTTTCCAGAAGACACTGGGAAGACCAAAACCTTCAGTCACTGTTACGAGCTCCTCCCCCGAGTCCTGTCACCAGCCTCTGCCTCACAAATGACATTGGTTCAGTGTATCATCAACCTCTCCCTGACCTTCTCTTTATTCACTGACTAAAGACAGAAGAGCCAGGCTGGCATTTCTGTCGTGCCTTGGGGTCACTCCCAAAGCACTTTAGAAACATAGAACTTGGAGCAGTAGTAGGCCATTCGGCCCTTTCAATATGATCATGACTGATTATCCAACTCAGTATCCTGTTCCTGCTTTCTCCACATGTCCTTTGATCCCTTGAGCCCTAAGAACTTGTTTAACTTCTTGAAAGCATTCAATATTTTGGCCTCAGCTGCTTTCTGTGGCAGAGAATTCCACAGGCTCCCTGCTCCCTGGGTGAAGAGATTTCTCCTCATCTTTAATCTTAAGTGGTTACCCCATATCTTTAGAATCTCGTTTACAACCAATGAAGGACCCTTGGGCCGTAAGATGTGATAGTGACTAAATTATCTGATTTTTTTGTGATGTGAACTGAGGGATAAATATTAGCCTGGACATGGGGTGGAGGGTGTATAACTCTCCTGATTTTCTTCAGTGTGGCACCAGGGGATCTTACGCATTCACCTAAGCAGCAAATAGGGCCTTAGTTTAATGTCTCCCACCCAAGAGACAACACCTCCAACAGTGCAGCACTCCTCCAGGACTGTCTTAGAGGGCCGGCTTAGATTTGCCTACGAGTGTCTGGAGTGGAACCTGAACCCAGCAGCTTCTTAAAGCTACCAACACCTCCTATTACCACCTCCCTATTGTCACTCACCTCTACCCCTGCCCTCGTTTATCTGATGCTGAAATCTGGCCTTTTATTTCCCTTGAGACTTGACTGTTCGAATACACTCCTAGTGGGAGCCCCACATCCTTCTCCTTATAGATATGAGTTCAATATAAACTCAATTGTCTATATCCTACCCTGCACGTTGGCCCATTCACTCAGCACCCTGTATTCACTGGCATGCTATGGCTGCTAGTCTGGCAACATCTCAATTGCAGAATCCTTATTGCTGTGTTTACAGTTCTCAGTGACTGGTCCTTCCTATCTCTGAAATATTATGGGCTGGACCAAATCCCTTCAAAATATATCAAGGAGATACCCTAGACCCTAACTTTTTATTTTATTTAAAGGCGGGTATAAGGCAATACGTTCCAGATATGATTTGATTGGTCCATCATCAGGCTTTAAGCAAACATACTTTATTCTTACAATACAGTTGAAATACAAACAAATAGAACAGACATAACTTTAACTGTATTGAAATACTTAATAAAATAGTATATTATTTAACTACTAATCATCAACTGTTTCAATGTAGCAAATCCCATAAACATACCCTTGGCAAAGGCAAATTCAGCAAAACAGATTTTCCTCACATGCTATCTCCCTTCCTGTCCAAGCGAATGGAACACTGAAAGAAAAAATTAGCAGCAGAGAGAGTGCTCAAGCTTTTTGCTGCAGCAGAGAAGGAGCTGTATCTATAAGCTTCAACAGCCAACTCCGAACCCCAACTGAAAGCAAAACTAAAACCCTAGGTCTGTGTCAGCCTGACTCCACCCACTCATGCTTCTTGTGTCTAAGGGATCTCAAAGCTGTTAACCTTTTGAAGCAGACATCCCATCACCACTGTGGCAACACCTGTCTGCAAGAGAAATAGCACAGAACAAATCTCACTTAAAGGCACAGCATCATCACAGTAAGCAACCCCAGATCCCTGCATTCATCCGGTTCTGGTCTCTTATGTCTCCCTAATGCTGTGGCCATGCTGCCTGGGCCCTGAGGTCTGGGATTTCATGGCTAAATCTCTCCTCCTCGCTATCTTCATCCAATCTTTTTAAGACTCTACTTAAAGCCTGCATCTCTTGATCAAGTGTTTGGTCACTTATCTTAACGTGGTGCATGTTACTCAGTGGCAAAGATGGTTTGGTAAAATCCTTTTCAAGCAGCGAATGATTAAAGCCTGGTATGCTCTGCTTGACAGTGTGCTGGAGGCAGGTTTAATCAAAGCTTTAGTCAGGGAAATGCACTGTTATCTGAAATGGAAGGTTACCCAAGGGCTGGGGGGAATGATAGGAGACTTGGACTTGGTGAATTTCTCAATGGGAGAACCAACGCAGATAGGATGGACTGAATGGCCTCCTGTGCTGTAACAATTCAGAGAAATCATGTAGATCTGATGGGCTGAATAACCTCCTTCTGCATTGTAATAACTCAGTGAAACCATTTAGATAGATAATGTGCTGTGCTGTAACAGTTCTGATAACACTCCCGTGCAGCCCCTTGGGATGTTTTATTACATTAAGGTACAATATAATTGCAGTGTGTTTTTATTATGTCATCACTCTGCTGTGGAATTATGTCATGGTGTGTGGCAACTGCATTGTACAATGTTACTGCCCTGAACAATCCTACAACAATACCTGTGTATGTAGCTCCTGTAATTATCCTTGACTAAACAGGAAGCTGAGCGCTTTGTGTGTTCCACAGCTTTGGATTCAGGAACGCCTGCCACTGGCAAAATCCAAGGATCACGGGAATAACTTGCAAACAGTGCAGCTCCTTCAGAAAAAACTGCAGGTGAGTGTCAGGCAAAGGACAGAATTGGGAACGGGAGCCCGGGAAATGAGGTTAGATTAGTTATTTACTGTGATTATTCACATCATGTACTGCAGCAAGTTGCTAAGGCCCCAGCAGTATCTTCCTCCACATTCCGTTCCCTATCTTGACTTGGAAATATGTCGCTGCTCCTTCATTGTCGCTGGAATTCCCTCCCTAAGGGCATTGTGAGTGTGCTTGCACAACATGGACTGCAGCAGTTCAAGAAGGCAGCTCACCACCACCTTCTCAAGGATGAGTGGAGATAAACAATTTACACCAACCTAGTCAGTGAAGTTGTTCTCAGCAGATTGGGGTTATTCAGATACGTCTCCCATGTGTCAAAATAAATGTTACTTCAGTTTGACCCACACGCACACATGTGTACGCATGCACACACATGTGTGGAGTTTGCACATGCTTCCTATGTCTGTGTGGGTTTCCAAAGATGCACAGGTTAGGTGGATTGGCCATGGGAAATTACCCTGTAGTGTCCAGGGATGTGCAGGCTGAGTGGATTAGGCATCGGAAATGCAGGGTTAGACGGATAAGGTAGGGAGCGGGTCTGGGTGGGATGCTCTTTAGAGGGTCAGTGTGGACTTGATGGGCCAGATGGCCTACTTCCACACTTAGTGTTCTCCTCAAACTAATATAGACTATGCAGTGTTGTTATTCACACAGAACTATTTGAGATGGAATACCATAATTTCCACCCAGTAATGATGGAGAAACAATGATATATTTCCAAGTCAAAAAGCTTTGACAAAAGTGCAAAAGAAACCTTAGCAACTTTAACTAACACACAATCAATCAAACAGACACACTCACCCAGACATAAAACTCCTGCAGGCAATCAGTCTTCCGCTCATCCACACTTGCGCGGTGTCTTAGAAACTCAGATGAGCATGGTGAGTGAGTTAGGGCTGTGTCTGAGGCAGCTCCCTTGTCTCTTCTAGGCACTCACTCTATTTGCTATTCACAGACTCTTCAGCGGGAGATCCAGGGGCACCAGCCGCGGATCAGTGATGTGATGGAGCGAGCAGGGCACATTGCCTCCATCCAGAGCCCGGAGACTGAAGCTGTACGCCTGAGCCTGGACCGGCTGCGGGAGCTCTGGGCTGAGCTCCAGGAGGAGACGCAGCAACGGCAGCAGAGACTGATGGCGATGCAGCAGGTCCAGCAGTATTACTTTGATGCCTCAGAGGTGGAGTCATGGCTGAGTGAGCAAGAGCTGCACATGATGACGGACGAGAAAGGAAAGGTAACAGCCAGAGGCGTGGGCTCCTGTTCCTTACTGTGTCTGTGCAGATCCCTCCGAGTCAGAACAGCAAAAATGTATGGTACAGGTGGATGTAAATAATGTAATGAGAGAAGTCAGTGACTTGGAGGGGGTGACGTGGTACAAAGGGTTAATATGAATACGCACATACAACAGCCTCCATCATGATATGATGTTGGATCATCTGACCACTTAACTATAGGGGGAATCCTCGTGTGTTGCCTTGTCCTGTACGTGGTTAGTATTAAGTGTGGTATTATACATGTTTACAATTAAGTGGGGGGTCTGTCCATGATTAGTATTAAGTGACCTGTTAGTATTTACTGTTTTGATTAGAGGTGGTTTTGACCAATAATTGAGCTTCCTGCAACCTTTATCAGCGCAACTCTCAGACACAACCAAACGAGAACAGCAGACTAACACGAGGACATGTGTGTTCCAATAGCCTTGCTAACCTGCATCAAACATTTTAGTGATTGTGTATCTGATTTCAATGAAGAATTCAATTCTGTTTGCAATGCACAGTTAGCTTTTGCCAAATTCTTGTGGCAGTTATTTATTAACCAAAGTTCTTCCAGTGACAATTAATTTTCTTCTGGATTATGGTCTCCAAATGTTTTCCTGCTTTTGATGTCAGTCTGATTTTTAAAATTTATTGATGGGTGTGAGCATCTTATTATCCTTCCCAATTGCCCTTGAGAAGGTGGAGGTGAGCCACCTTCTTAAATCACTGTTGGGGGAGGGTGGTTTGTGTAGAATCACAGGGCTGTTGAAGAGAAAGTTCTAGGATTTTGACCCAGTGACACTGGAGTACTGGTGATATATTTCCAGTTCAGGATGGTGCGTAGCTTCAAGGGGAACTTGCAGGTCGTGGTGTTCCCGTGTATCTGCTGTCCTTGTCCTTCTAGACGGTAGAGGTGGTTTGGAAGGTGCTGTCCAAGGAGCCTTGGTGAGTTACTGCAGTGCGTTTTGTAGATAGTGCATACTCTTGCTACTGTGCGTGGATGATGAAGGGATTGAATGTTGAAAGTAGTGGATGAGGTGCCATCAAATGGGCTACTTTGTCCTGAGTGGTGTTGAGCTTCTTGAGTGTCTTTGGAGCTACACCAGTCCAGGCAAGTGGGGAGTATTCCATCGCACTCCTGACTCGTGTTGGCTTTGGGGAGTCAGGAGGTGATTTCCTTGCTGCATGATTCCTGTTCCTGTAGCCACAGTATTTATGTGGCTGGTCCAGTTAAGATTCTGGTCAATGGTAACCCCCAGGATGTTGATAATAAGGGTTTTAATGATGGTAATGCCATTGATTGTCAAGGGGTGATGGTTAGATGCTCTCATATTAGCCATTTCCTGGCATTTGTGAGGCTGATCGTTGAAAAACTCAGTATTGAATCATGAAGACTATAAGGTGGAACCTTCACAGTTACAGCCATAGTCACAGCCTTCAGTACCCAACATTGAGATTAACAATTCCAGAAGGTGATCACCCTCCTACAAGATGGTTACCATCCCCCACCACCACACCCTTAAGTCCTGCGTTCTCTGTGTTTCTCCCTGCACAGCCAATTCATTTTCAACTATTCACACTTCACATCAGCACCCTACCTAGTATTTATCTCTTTCTCGGCTTATCATCAACTATCTCTTTGTTTGCCTATCCCCTTTATTCTCTCTCTTTCTATGGGCTCTGTCTCCATGTACTCTATTCAATCCCGTCCCACAATCTCTTAATAGCATGAATACCAACATAAATAAATATCAACAACAGTTGTCAGTTCTGAAGAAGGGTCACTGGACTTGAAACATTAACTCTGTTTTTCTTTCCAAAGATGCTGCCAGACCTGCTGAGTTTGTAACTAACTCTTAAATATTCCTTTGAAATGGCCTCACAAGCCACTCAGTTCCAGAGCAATTAGGGATGGGCAGTAAATGTTGGTCCAGCCAGCAATACCCATATCCCATGAACGAATAAAATAAATCTTTGTTTCTGAACAGTATGAGCAAAAATATTATAACATCCAGTGGAAGCTTGAGGATTGGTTAACGTTTAACACACTAGAAGGTTTGCTGCAGTCATTCAACCTTTGAGGACAGGGCTGAGCTTAAAACTTCCAATATGAACATTTGTTGACCAGAAAATGAACTGGACCAGCCGTACTGTGGCTACAAGAGCAGGAATCTCACAGCAAGGAAATGATCTCCTGACTTCCCAAAGCTAGCACGAGTCAAAAGTGTGATGGAAGACTCCCCACCTTCCTGGATGGGTGCAGCTCCAAAGACACTCAAAGAAACGCTGGCTTGCATACCTGTGATGGCCCAGACCACCCTCCTGTTAATCTGTGTCAGTAAGTGTGAATGTATTCAGTATCAGATACACTGGACCATGACTGTTTCCTCTCTGATCCGTGTAGGATGAACAGAGCTCCCTCCAGATGTTGAAGAAACACCTCGTTCTCGAGCAGACAATTGATGATTATGCAGAGAACATCTGCGAGCTCTCGAAGACATGTAGAACGTTATTGGACAAGGGCCATCCAGAGAGGTAAAGTGACCATGAAGCAGTGTGGCTTGTGATTGCGATGACTTCATTCCAGTTTAGGCAGGAGGAAAGAGTTGAGCAGGTGTCACTCGAAAACAATCAAATATATCATGATGTCAAGGTCACAGGGCAGCCTGAGATACTACTGCAAATCCCATCTAGCTCTCTGTGGTGTTGGCATGATGACCCTTCCATTGGGTGTTTTAAATGGGATTTGAGTGGTTTAACTTGCTGCTATGAGAAAGGTGCAATGCCCTGAGAGATGAGAATGTTTGTCCTTTTGACTCCTTTCAGCATTTGTTGCCATGATATCATAAATGAGAAAAAGATGAGCTGGATGGTGAGTTGTTCCCATTCATAAAATGGCAACTTTAAAACTTGCAAATTCAACCTCCGCCATCTCTGTAACTTCCAAACATTGTAACCCTGCAAAATATCCATGGATCTCCAATTTTGGCCTCATATTGGGAACGTACATGGTGAATCTTTGTGTATTGATGTTTTTAAAAGTTATCTCTATGAAAATGCTCAGAGGGGAATAATATTGATCCAGTATTAATTAAGATTGAATTGAAACTGTCCACAGGTTGTTCTCCATTCTGTCTAGTTCCTCTGAGAGTATAATGAGAGAAAAAACTAATGACATTTTCAGTTGAACTGTGCAAACAAAAGAAATGTCCCACTGTTCTGGAGAGATCTGACTGAAACATCAGAAGTGCATGTGGTGGTCCCACTGCCACTCAATGAATCCAGCTCTCTCTCTGTCTCTCTCCCTCTCTCTCTCTCTCATTCACACACATATAAAACATCCATACGCACATCACAATAAATACCCACACATACAAATCACTCACACACACAAAACACTCACACACACATCGCACACATACATGCACGCACACATACACCCCACAGACACAAAACACATTCACTCATCATACACACTCACTCACACACACATCAGTCTCTCAGTCAGACTGTCTTTGTCTCACTCTCTCACACACTAACAGAGTCACACTGTTTCTCTCTCTGTCTCTCTCACACACACACACACACACACACACACACACGTTCACTCACAATCACAGTATCTCAGCCAAGGTCTCTTTGTGTCTCACTCACACACACACTAATGCAGTCACATGTTGGGTTACATACAGAGCATGCTGTGATGGGAACAAGCAGTGAATTGTAACATTCGGGGAACTGGATATTACAACAGTTACTAGATAGCTGTATTAAAACTGGCTTGGGAACAAGGGTGGGGCTTGGTGTGAGATTTTCGATATCTCCTTCAAAAGTGTTGAAAGGTCATGTACGAGCATTTCAGGATACAGATAGTTGGGATTGGACTGCAAGACTGTGTGAAGGAGAGGCAGATAAATAGGCTCCAAGTTCAGCAGGTGCTGCTGTTTAGCTGGACTGCTGAGAAGGTACTGACTGGACTGATTCAGTGTGTTGGTGTTCAGAAAGAAGTCCCAAGGATAATGTTTCAGAGATAGTAGGAACTGCAGATGCTGG